CATGCACGACTATGAGTACCCCCCCCCCCCCCTCCCCCCAGAAACTTCGTTGCCGCCTCACGGTAAGCTGTTGCACGGTGTGGATGGAGCAGCTTCCTTAGTCTGATTGACCTACGTGACGCCCAACGGGTAGGGCTGGGCTGTGGTTTAGATCAACCTCAGACGTTCTTGTCTGCCCCTTCTCGCTACAGAGAAAGATGTGCTGCGCAGAGCATGGTCAGAAGAACCCAGCATCGCCCACGACACACGCAACCACCACCGCCAGGAAAAAACACCACAGAGTCATGATGCCGACAACAACGTCACGGACCGGGCCTTCGAGAGGACATTTATCGTTATATGTGAAATACAGAGGCAGGTTTCGTTGAACCTAACCCGAACATAATCCTCACCTCATAATCCCCTCCAAAACCATAAAAAAAAAACTATCGCAGATTCATTATGCCGAACACCAACCGCCACGGACCGTCTCCGCGAGGATGTTAAGCGGAATATGAGTGAAACAGAGAGGGGGATGCTCGCAAACCCTGCCCCTAACAAAATCCCCACCCAAACCTTACCAAAACTAACGCAGATTCACAATACCAAACACCCACCGCCACGGACATCTTTCGCGAGGACGTTACAAATAAGCGGCAAATAAGTGAAAGAGAGACGGGGGTGTTCGCTACCCCGTACCCTAACCCCGCAACCCCTGCCAAGGCTACCGAAAGTCGCAACCGCCCTTTCTACACCTTGACCATGGACGACAACAAGTTCTCCGTGACGGCTACTGAAAGCCACCAACACTGTGCTACCACCCACGACGACTAGTACTGTACCGTACTCACCCGGTCATCTTCACGAGCACGAGCTGGGCGGAAAGGAGACCCGGCCGGCTGGATCCCGACAGCACCGCCTGAACGACGTTACAAAAACCGCAAAGACACAAAATGATCAAACACGCGGTCGAATACAGCTGTAGAAGCGTGGAGCGCGGAGTCCTTTGGGGGCCAAAGGCAAGGCGTGACAGCACCGGTTTTCGGCCTCGATTCGTTGTGTTGGGTACCCTGATCACAAGAGCCTAAAAAAAACGGCGGCGCATCCCACCCTGACCCCTGGGTTTTTCATAGCGCATTGATGCATCGGTCGGGGTCTCTCACAGCCCTTCGTTTCTTGCGCTGGCGGACCGAAAAAAAAAAACGTGTCTAGTGGCCACGTCGCTGCCGTCTGTTGCACCACACTCTCAGACCCCTTGCCATAAGAAAAGACAATGCCTAAAAAAAAGCGCACATGATGTCGGGGGCTGCCTCAGGCACTCGAAATAGGAAGTCACGGGGCCCCCGTCCGAAAAAGGGGTTCTGTCGATTATACTTCGTCTACATACAGCAAGATGTAGCATGATGTAGCATGATGTAGCATGAGGCGTAATGCCATGTCCGGGACTCCACTCGTGCGCGAGACGCGGCGCAACTGTAGAAGCTCCGGGTCTACAATACGCCAACACTGCCTTTGCTTCGAAACAAAGGACATGCGACCTACCTCCTGGACCCTACCCCGCCCCCCTCACCTTCATTTCTGGAACTCCCCCCCCGGCGGCGCATGGGCAGACGAAGTGGGTGATGGCGCACATGCCTAGCGTCAGCGAGAGCGACATCGCGCCGTAGATTGCCCAACCGAACGCGCTGTAGGTCGCAGGGTGGGTCAAGACGACGCGGGGGAAGGACGGGCGGAGGGAGGGGGGGAGGGGGGGGGGGGGGGGGGGGGGGATCCGCGAGTGTATTTTATGATGTGGCGTCAACGGGCCGACGGCGGGGGTTTCTGCGTTGTTGTGGCCGTTGTCGTCACTGAACGACTTCTTGTCGCTGTCTGCACGCCGGTCTCGACCCACAGCACCACCTCGAGGAAGACGCGTCATGCTGATGGGAAACCAGGAGGAAAAGTTACGTGCGCATGTTGGTGTGTGCGTGGGAGGGAGAGGCGCAAGGACAGAGGGACCGGCCCGTGTCACTCACCGCCGACGGTGTCTCAAACTAACCAGCCTTCGGCGAGGGCGTGTGTGTTTCGCGGGTCCCCAACACATGCGTCTGGCGCGGTGGTGCGCGTCACCAGTCATGCTTATCCAACTTCCCTCAACATGAGCCATACCCACATCCCGTGTTTGCATCGCACTCGATCCGCAACAGGATAGTGGTGCTCCATCCTCTCGAGGACGGAGCGTAGTCAATGGTCTAACAGCTAAGGCATGCAAAAACAAGAGTACCTCCCTCCCCCCGGCCCCCACCAACGAGCCACCTTCGGAAGAGCAGGAAGGAACGACTGGCCATCGGTCCTATGGGAACAATGCTCCGTCCTCTCTCGAGGGTGGAGCGTGGTCAATCGTCTACCAGCCAGGGCATGCAAAACATGAGTATGCCCCCGTCCCCCTTTCCGTCGTTCTCACAGGTGGCCATTTTCGACGGTCTTGGTTATCCTCCACATCCTCGCCCACGCGGACAGGAGGGACACGAACATCCCCGCCAAGGCCGCCAGGATTCCCACCAGGATTATCAACAGAGGAACCTGTTGTTGTTATTGGCCGCCGCCGCCGGCGGCGGAGAAGAGAGAGAAAGAGAGAGGGGCATCGTGTGGAACAGCACAGGGAATCAACGTGAGGGGCATCCGGTGGGGACGATCAACAACGGGAACCTTTGTGTTGCCGCCGGAGACTGCGGGCCCGGTGGAACAGGCCAAGGAATCAAAAGCCAGGAATCGACGGAAAAGGACCATCCGATGGGGGCATGGGTATGAATTGGGGGGGGGGGGGG